TGAACAGCGGGTGGAACTGTCTATTCTTTTTGATTGAACGCACAATTGTATTAGCTTTTAAGGCCTCCATATCGCATTGTAGGAGCTCTGGTGGCGTAGTGCCTAAGGCATTTGACTGCTAACTAGAAGGTTGGTGGTTCAAACCCACAGCCACTCCACGGAAAGAAGACTGGGCAATCTACTTCTATAAAGATTTACCACCTCAGAAACCCAAAGGGGGTCTCTGTGAGTCAGAATCAACTCAATGGCAGTGAGTTTGGTTTATATCACGTTGTTAGTCATATTGACGATATAATCATTTAAAGCTTTACATTTGGAGTTCGAGGAACCTTTGAGCATCTGACAAAAGCTGTGGACTCTTCACTGCTTCACTGTAGCCCCTAAATGCATCCACACACAATTATTGCTGTAATTTCAAGTAGTTCATGAGTCCCTAGTGTTTGTATTTTCTTTACGATGAGACTGTTGATCACTTTGCTGCAGTCAGATTTTCTGTCAGTGCTCTTACATCGTCAAAAATTAAATAGAAAACGGTTAGTTCTGCCATTTCTTAGTGAATCCATGCTGCCTCCTAGTGTTAACATTTTCTTATTTTAAAATGCTCACTATTTTTTTTTTTAACCAATGCAGGATCAACCTCAAGTGAACCAGTTTGTATCTCAGAAATCTGCCTGGCTTCTAGTCCTCTCCCATTCTTCACTATTCCTCACAGATTACAGAAGGCAGTTAAGCAGCCTTACCTGCAAAGCCTCTCAGTATCCCAGGGCGTGACTTGTGAGATTGAATGACTTGAACTTGGTTAAAATAACTAGATGTTTTTTTCTTTTCTCAGCCATCTTGGATTTAAGTTTCTTCCTAGTAATTGTATTTGATCTTCAGACTGGAAAGAATAAAACCTTCTTAGTGGAGAATGGAAATAAAATAAGAGATAGGCTGCTTTGTCATTTGTTAAAATTACATGAAGTACCCTATGGGGGGGGGGCTTCACTTTTTCCTCTGTTTCTTTTTAACCTCTAAAATGCCATTTATTCAATATCTGGTACTTTGTAAAACCACAATTCATCCTGAGGCTTTAAGCCTTGTTCACAGTATTCTCACAGCTCCATTTCACTCTTTATAATACTTGTTTTATGTGCCCTTTTTAACCATCTGCTGTGTTTTTTTTTAACATCTGAATTCCAGGAAGCTCTGTGTAGCCACATCAGATTTTTTAGATACTTTTTCCTTGTCTTATCCTCATCAGTGAATTTTGCAATTATGCAGTCAGTATTATGCTTCTGAGAGCCTCCAATTCATCTCGTTTCTGATCTTGGAATTGATCCTAATTTTCCCTTGAAAAACTTGAAATCTGCCTATCCAATATGTGCAGCATTTCCCTTTCTTTCTTTCTTTCTTGATTTCCAAATAACATGGCTGCTTTCTCTAAAGGTTCCTCCTACTTGAACGCATCAGATGCACTGATTTAAGCTGAGTGACGCTTCCACAGATACCCTCTGGTCAGTATAATAGCTAATAACAGCTAATGTCTTTGTGCACTACCACTTGACAGGCACTGTGCTAAGTACTAAGGTAACTGAGGTTATCTCGGTTGACTCCTACCATAGGGTTATGAGATGTGGGTGCTATTGTTATCCCAGTAACACAGATGAGGAAGCAGGCTTAATGAGGATGTTGACTTACATGCTTAAAATCGCACAGCCTGTGAGTGACAAAGTCAGATACTTCCTAAATTGGATTCTTAATCACTGTGCTGTGCTGTTTGACATGGTGTTTAATTACTATACTGGACAAGATTCTATTACTTCAAAACCTATGTAGCTCTCAGAAGACTGGCTGTGCACAGTAGGCACTTAAATAATTAATTAGAGGCTTATGTTTCTTGATTTCTGGGATATTGCTTCCCATCTCCTACAAGTCAGTAAGAAAAAGATGAGAAAAATGGGTAAGGAGCACTAGGCAATTAATATAAGCAATGAATGGAAAATATGAAAAGATGCTCATTTTTACTATCAGATAGGGTTTCGAGAGACTTACTTTTTTAATGGCAAGAACCGTTTATAAATATGATACATGGTAAATAAAGAACACAAAAGAATTTGTGAAATTTCAGAGATAATCACTGTTAACACAAGCAAGCATACACAAAATATTATTGGTATAATACTAGAGTATAATTGCTTTTTTGTTGTTAGTTATTAACACATACACAATTACTTGTCTCTGGTTTGTTGAAGCAGTAGGTCAGACAACACTTGCCCAGTAATATGTATACAAGTGGCTGGCCATAAAAACTCCAGCACCATATTCATTTGAGGGACATTCCCCATGAAAGCAACTCATTTTGCCATTCTCGTCCACCTTACATTATTTTAGGACATCCAGCTTAACCTTCTTTCTCTTACTCTTCTTGGGAGTAATGTAAGACTTCTTTTCCTTAGAACCGCCACTAAGTCTCAACACAAGATGAAGAGCTGGCTTTTTAAAAACAGACATTGAACATCATACCATTTTAAGTATTCAGTGATAGGATCCTTAATGGCTGTATAGCATTCCATTGTTTCTCATAAGAAACTGAAGACCAGTTTGTTTCCTTGTGGTAAAGAAATAGTAAAGGAAAAGACCTTAGATCTTCCTTATATTCTTGCTTTATTCTTATATCATTATTCTCTTTATTGAAATTACTTGTTTACCATTAGGCATTATTTGCTGTGATTTCTTCCACAGTTGTTATTTTGTTCTATACTCAATCATAGTGACCCATATGATTGATTCTTTTTATTGATATAAGAACAATTATACTATCTTTTTCTTGAGACCAGTCAGTAGGCTCATTCACTGAACAAGTTAACGTTTTTAAGAAGTAAGTATGCCATTTAAAGATTTTTCTAAAGAAGAATGGAGGCTGTGTTGTAACACTCTGGAAATTGCATGAGGTTTGGAGTAAGATTGTCCTGCTTCATGGTTCAAATCCTGACTGCCAGTTTTAGTCATGTAAACAATCCCAGCAAGTCACTTAACATTTTAAGCCTCCGGTTCTTTGAATCTGGAAAACAGGGATGGTTATTGCTATCTCACAGGAGGGATAATTTAACATGAGTTGTGAATATAAAGCGCCCAGTCCAGTAATGAGGTTAGTTTTCTCTTTTTTAGGTATTATCAACCTTTTTTATGCCATTGATCCCTTTGTTAATCTAGTGAAGCCCTCGGAATAATGATTTTAAACACATACAATAAAATGCATGGGATGGCAAAGAAAACCAATTATATTCAGATACAGTTATCAAAATACTTTAAACAAATTTGTGGTGCTTTCTGTTTCCTATGAGTCAGATCCGACTTGACAGCAGTGAGGTGTGTGTGTGTGTGTGTGTGTGTGTGTGTTTCATATACTTTTTTGGACTTATATGGGATTGAATGGATGAATAAAAAGAGTAAGAAATAGAAAGGAGGGAAGGAAAGAAAGAAAGCTCATTTATACACACACACACACACACACATACATACATACATACTTGGATGGACTTGACTCTCCCAAGCTGTCATCCCAGATTTCCAAAGGGCTTGTAGACACTTCCACCTTAGCATCCTACCAGCAACTCATATCACCAGTGAAGCTGAATACCTCTCCCAAATCAGTTTGTCTTCCCAGATTTATCATACCCCTATCACCTGAAGTCTAAATCCTAAAATCACGTTTGAGTCCTCACATTTTCACCCTATTCCTTCTTTAAATCATCATAGAATTCTAAAGATTTTTATCTTTATAGTATCTAACTTCTACTACCCAAATTTAAGACCTTCTTGTTTTATCCTTGCCACATTATGGTGCAGGCTTTTTCTGCTTGATCTCTGACTTCCTATTTGATGTCAAATATTAAGTACTTGACAATATTTGGTATCTAAAGGTCTGCAGCAATCACAGATGTGCTGTTCAGCTTTGTACCGAATTGGCAACTTGATTGATTTACTTACTTATTGATAAATTTGTATTTGCTTTCATTTCCTCAAATATGTATTCTAAGTTCTTTGAGGGAAAGAATTGCATCGTAGACTTACTTTATATCTCCCCACAGCACTTAGAATAATGCTTAAAAGTGCTTCATA